TTTAAAATATATTTTATAGACATTTAAATGGTTATATATATTAATTTTTTTGGGGAGAAGACCCAGGTCTCTTAAAAGCTCTGTGATAGTTCTTATTTCTTTAAAATTCTTTTTCACTTATTTATAATTTAAATTTAAGATTTTTGCAATAAAAATTGAAGTTCTTTATTATTAAATTATTTTTAGGTTTTTTTTTATGATAGAATAATTAATCAAAATAAATAAACAATAAAAAAATAAAAAAATATTTATCTACTTAAAAAAATTTTAAAAACAACAATTAATTTAAAAGAAACTTAAAATAAAAAATCAAGAGTTATTTTGGGACAAATAAATAAGCATTATTGTCTCTTTATTACCATAGTAATACACAAGCAAGAATGGTGCGCCTCTTCTTCTCTTTCTGTTGGGAATTTTGAGTAACACAATTCCACGCAAGTGAAAGTGATTCAAAAATTAAGACAAAAACTTAACGTAATTTGATTTGCATATCTCTCAACAAATTTATGTCTACGGGAAAGAAAAAAATGAATCCATTATTAAAAAAAGGAGTATAATAATTTAGAAACTCTCTTATTTAAAAAACTCTCAACACCTTAATTTCAATATATAAAAGCTCCCAAATTCTCTCTAAAATTCTCTCTTAATCTTCATAATGATTATCTCGCAATTTCTATCTTTCTTTTCTCTCACAAGAGTCCTCACTCACTTAGCTCTTCTCAATTTCTCTTGCTTTTCTCTCACTCTTGCTCGCCCATTGCCTTTGCATGCATGGGTATTTATAATGAAAAATCCCAACCACCCGAGCAAGTTTTTCTTTGCTTCATTACCACGCATGTGTGATTTTCTTTGTTCATTAAATGAGGTCAACATGCAATTTTGTATTATTTCAATAAAGCAAATGCTAACCTACAACATGTTAGGTTGGTGAAGAAATTTTACCGCATGAAAAGTCCATGTGTTCACATGAGGTTGGATTTTCTACCAACACTTTCCATTCGACCCCAACTTTATTTCATAGAATCAAATAAGTAAATGGATGGAAGCCCTCCCTCTCACATCGCTACAGGTTTTTTTTTTTTTTCCACTTTTGTCATCCAAGTTTTCTCACTCTATTTCACAAGTCATGAGTGGTTTTTCATCATTTGATACTAGGTTTCCACTTTTGCCCTCAAAACTTTGTTTCTCCATTGCACCTTTATGGGGGGCATGTCTGTCATTTCGTGACCTCTTCTCGTTGTGCCTTCCTATCTCTGTTTCTCCATTTCACATGTTGGGGTGGTTTTTAGGTCATTTCAACACAAAGGCAGGTTGATTCAGTTTGATTTCCATTTACACGCTAAATTTTATATGCCAAAATCAATTCCTTTAGTCATCGATCATTGAAGAGGAAATTCTTTGCTGGATTTGGAGATTTGAGTAGCTGATTGAATAACAATGGTTTTATCTTATAGCTTTTCTATGTTTCTGATGATCATTTCCCTATCTATGTTCAATTTTGGTCTTCGAATATCTAATCTTTGATCGTCGATCATGGAAGAGGAAAGTTGGAGCTAGATTTTAAGATTTGAGCACCTAAAGGGAAAGATAAGGATTTTGTGGTCGTGGAAATCTTGAGCTAACTTTTGCACCAAAAAAATAGAGTTCGTAGGCTCGTGAGAGGGACAAGGAAAGCAGGGGCGGAGCTATGTGTAGACCAGGGGGCGGTGGCCCCCCCTGGGATTTGAAATATATATATAATTAATTAATTATTATTATTAAAATTTTAAATATTGTATTTTTAATTGTTAAAATACATAAAATAAAAAAAATCCAATAATAATGGGTTGTTTTAGGAGTCCAAATATAATCTATATAATCCATTATCTATTTTAATAATTTAACTATTTATTATTATTTAAAACTCATTCATTTCAAACCCCACAAGTGAATTATGTAGAAAAAGAAAAAAAAAAAAGGAAGAAAAACATATTTTGGTGTCTTCTATGCCATTTTTCCAATATCCGACCCCACTATGTCATTGTTAATCTCCTTCAACCTCAACCTAACAACTTCAAAAATAGAAAAAAGAGAAAAAAGAGACTCCACCGGCGGCCTAAACGCAAACAATTGTTTTTAAGGAAAAGATAGAAATTGTTTCCAAATCCTTCATTTGAAGATAAAATAAAATATCTATTATTCTAGTATGGAAGGAGTAGTATTTAAGTAATGAAATTTATTGATTTTTTATTATCACAAAAAATTATATAATTTTCTTTTAGGATTTAGAGTTGTTGAGATTACAAATAAAATTGAATATTATGATAATATTGAATATTATAATAATATTAAAATTATATGGAATATAATTGGATCTGAGCAAAAAGAAAAGAAAAGAAAGTATAGATCCATAAAGGAAACATATATGAACTCAATAAAGGAAAAACCTTGGATATAGTTATATAGAGGAAAGCAATAGGAAGATAAATTAGTATAAAAAGAAGATAAACTAGTATAAAAGGAAAATAAACTAGTATAAATTGTAATTAACTTGTAAAAAGGGAAAAAATTTGTTTGATTGTAGAAAGTGGTAGGGTGAAAAGATAGGATGTCACCGTATTTCATATTTACCAACCTCACATGTGGAGGTGCAGAATCTCTTCCACTATAGAATTAGAGATAGCTGATAACTCAGATAATTAAGTGCTTCACCACTACATACTGATATACTATTTTAGGAATCTTGATAACTAATTAAGTGCTTATAGATTTTATGTTGTCAATTGCTACCTCCATACAAGTTTCAAATTTTAGATCTCCTATTCAAATTTGAGATTGAGATGAAGGAGAAAATGGCTAGTGGATTAGAATTGCAACAACAAAAAGAGTATTTTTTTGTTATGAAAATTGTGAAAACAAAATTTCGCAGCAAACTAGAGAATGAATTCCTTTCAAACTCTCTGATTATTTATATTAAAAAGGAAATTGTTCAGTTATTTAATGTAGATTCTACTATAAATAGATTTTATTATATGAAAATTCGTCTAGTATTATTTTAATTTAGGATATAAAAGTAAGTTTTCAAAATTACAATGCATTATTTTAAGACTTGAAAAGCTGGTCCGCCTTATCAAAATTCCTGACTTTGCCACCGAAGGAAAGCTCAAAGAGGTCTGTGCACTTGAGCAAAGTGATATTAAAATTGTGGCGAGATGCTTCATCTTTGGCAGTAAGAATGTGGAGAGGGATGAAGATCTGCTGTTGGTTTGAAAGAGGTGGAAAAAGAGAAGGAGAGAATGTAAGATTGCTGGCCGAAACTCAAAGGGAAGAGATTACTGGTTATGGGTCTTCTCTGATGGTGGACATGAGTCGAATCTGATTGAGATCCAAAAAATTAAACAGTGAGATTGTCAGAAAAATCCCACACTTTTGTGCCTAAGAAAGAGGAAAAAAAAATTGTGATGCTAGTTAAATCTGGAGAATGATTACAGCCAAGAAAGCACGCTAAAAACAGAACAGATGTTTGTTGCAGTCAGTGGAAAGAAATAAGAAGACATTCAGAGGAAGGTCGTCAATGGTGGTGAACCTTAAAGTGGCGTGGCTGAAGCTGAAAAGGGCTGCACTTGGTTGTTGTGGGTGATAGGGGAAAGGTCTATCCTTGAAGTAGTGGTTGGTAACGCCTAGGTGATTTTGGGTTGATCAGCAAGAGACGGGGGCAGTGCAAGAAATTTATGGGACTGATTTGTTGATATATATGTGGTGTATGCATGACAAGTAATGATTCAGTAGCTTGGTGGTGGCATGTTTGGTGATGGTGTAGTCATGAGAAACATGGAAGCGTTGGAATCAATCGGGTGAATCAAGAGGCTTAAGGCATATAATCAAATAAAATGCCTTCAATTCATTTTGTTTCTAAATCCTAAAGTAACTAAAAGAAAACCCCAAAAAAAAAAAAAATCTTATTTGAAAAACCAAACATAAAAGAAAATATATATATTTTTTTTTTTAAAAAATAGAAATAAACAAGAAATAGAATTAGGATTTTTTGACTTGTTAGAGGTTTAAAACTCAGATAAATATAAAGATTTAAAACATGTAAAAACAATTCTCCATGTGATAGATAGAGTGGTAACACTCTATTTCACAAGTAAAAATACCATTAAAATATATTGTGTTTGATCCCAACTCTTTCTCTTTCACCCTCTATTAAAAATATGTGATTGTTATAATAGATAAGTGATGTCGTTAAAATAAAATAAAATAAAAGAAAGCACGCAAAAGCAAAATGGGAGAAATAAGGCAATCTTACAGACAATGTCGAAAAACCACAACTTCACAACCATCTTCTATAGCCCCGGAGAACTTTCTCTTTAGATTCGGAACAGAGGGATTTCGGGTCATGCGTCCCCAATTGTTATCTTACAGGTAATGTCGTATATATGTCTCTGAAATAAATCCTGGAGGTCGACCGGCAGTCCTTCCTTGAAGAAATACTGGAGGACCGGGATTACCCCTCGATTTACGCCCTCCGGACGATCTCCCCAGTGATCTGGTGGAATATCTCTGTTGTCCGAGGTGAAAGCACGGACAAACCTCCGCTGCTGCTCCCACTCCTGGAAGTCATAGGTAAACAAGGAACGGAAATGTCAATTCCTTCTCTCCATTTGGTGCCTTTTGGAAACCTAGAGAAGTTTGTGGTCATCATATGCCGCACATTAGCAGGGTCACTGGTGACCAGGATTTTCAAGGATATTAGTGATGAACAGAGTATTGTACTTTGGCTACCACTTAAGAGTTCTGCAATCTTGCCATTAACTTCCTCGAAGCTGAGGAACAGAGTTGGTAACATTTTAGGTGAATCCAGTTCGATGGACTGGAATTCCAAAATATGCGGGAAGGAAGAAGAAGAAAG